AATCATTGAACATGACGTGAAGAGAGTAGCTTGTCTATGAGCAATAGGCACCGGATGCAAGCACAAGAAGTCAAGAACAAGAGCCGTCACCAAGGAAGCGAACAGCTGATGATGTTGGTCATGTTCGATTTAAGCTAGCAGCTAGAAGCCAAGCAGAGATTGATTGACGAAGAGCGATGCTTGGTGATTAAACACGTAGAAGACAAGCTACGCACGTGACATCAACAGTGCTAGCCGTGGTCACAACCCGCGTACCATCACTGCGCACAAGCCACAGTGGCACAGATCCCTCCAAACTTTCCGGCGATCTCCGGGGTGATGTAGCCTCGGACCCAGCCATAGGCTATAAGGTGACTTTTGCAATATGCTGTCAAGGCTAAGACGGCCGAGAGTTCAGGTGTCTTCGGACTTTCCGGGATCAGCAGAGCCTGCAGCCACCTCAACGCCTAAGGCACTCACGGTTACGTGCTCTCCATCTGCGTATCTAGCCGGACGAAGCTTCCTAAAGCAACACAGAGGCCGGTCACATCATACCTGACGCATGCCCCAAGACTGAAGCCCTTCGCATTGTCGACCTTGAGCCCTAACCATCATGGTTTCCAAGGCCAGCAGCCCATGGTTGCGAGCATGGCAACGCGGCCGTGCCTGTGCCAGGAAAGGCGTGCGAGTGCTCTTGCAAGAAGGTTCAAAACACTCCAAACAGTGACAGGCGACCTTCTGCGACACTTCCCACCCAGAGACAACTGCCGCGACTGCCGCCACCAGCACCACCCGCAACACCACCAGCACGACCAAGACAGCTGTCTTACAAAATACACTACCATCATCGCCACTACCGCTGGAATCCCGTGCGCATGCTGTCTCGCATCTGTGGCTGAGCGTCGAGGCAGTGCCTAGGGTTGGGAGGCTTTCGCTTAAGGGTTTGAGTTTTGGGACGGTGGCTGGACGGTCCGAACTCAGATTTAGCAAAATTAGCACAGCTGCTTGATCTCAACGGCGCGGCGTCGCTTGAAGTTCTCGGCGCTGCCGTCCTGTCAACAGGCTTTTCACGCGAGCATGCATTCAAAACATATATAATACGCCTGTCCGATCACGGGAAGTCGACTGGGTGCCGAAGCCAACGTGCGACGACAATGATAATGACGACGACGAGTATGATGATGATAATGATGACGATGATGATGGTGATGATGATGATGATGATGATGGTCGTGATGATGGCGGTGATGTTGATGGGTGATGGGTGATGGTGATGG